TGGACAAAGTCCACACACTCCAGTCTCATCCCTCTTCCTGAGCGGTTTCCTCTGGTTGGACTGGCCTTTCCCATCCATTCATCTTCTAAGGCTCAGCTCACACGCTTCTGTGAACCTTCCCAGAGGCCTCCGCAGAACTGACCACCCCAACATCAGGATGAGCACCCCAGCTGTAAGCACAGATGAATTGCATTCTGCCTTGCATATAGTTCGATTACTCTCGCTCTTTCTCTCTCTTTGACTAGAATATTCAATATGAACTATTGGATGTGCCCCATTTTTCACTGTCACCCTCCAGTGTCCTGCACCCAGGGTGACTATTTATTGAGATCCAGTGCTGCTGTTCGGCCCAAATTCTGATCCCAATGTCTTCCCTTGACCCCTTCTCTCTCTATTACCAGAAAACCAGAGACACAGAGTGATAGGACATTCAGTATCTCCAAGAATAATTTTCTGCTTTCACTCCATGGTTTTACACCTCCTGAGAGGCACAATGATGCATGGAAGGAGTCTTGGACTGGGAGGGAAGGGACCTGGTTTTGATTATTGGCCTTTGTTCCTAGTCTGCTGTGTGACTTTGGTCAAGTTTCTCCTTCTGAGAAATGGAGGCATTCAACTAGGTGATCTCTGGTACTTTGTAATCTCCAAAACATTTCCTCACATCTTTCTAGAAAGTTCTAACTCTGAAATCTGACAGACGAAGGTTACTTTGCAAGGTAAATATCACATCAATCTTATTGGCTGGTAAATCTAACTTTAACCATTTAATACTTATTTTAGGCTTCACACATTATTTTAAAAGAAAGGAAGGATGTAACAAGCAGAAAGTTTCAGGTATAGCTTCCCTGAAATGCCTGGATCTGGGATTCCTGTGTCATTGCTTCCTCCCTGTATGGTAGGGGAGTTGAGCGAGGGCTTTGGAGTCAAACTGACCAGGGTTCGTGCCCAGCCCTGCCACTAGCTAACAGTTTTCTCAGCCTCAGTTTCCTTACCTGTAACAGAAGATAGTAGTATTTCTTTGGAGAGGGGGTTATTTTGAGGATCCGGTAAGATGAAGAAAAGCTCTTTAGCACAGAGCCTGGTACATAATAAACATTCAGTTAGTGGTAGGTATTATTATCATTATGTCCCCTTCCTCAAGCAAATATTCTGGCTTTAAAATGTTTTAAAAAGCTTCCATGAGACTAAGATGCCAGATGAATGTTCCTTACCTCCTACCTGTTGGCCTGGTGGTGTAAGTGTATGCAGGGGGCTAGAGCCAGGTGAACTGACCTGAGGCTTGGGGCAGCCAAAGGGGAAGCGCTGAGTTCATTACAAGCACTTCACTGAGCAGCCCCAAGGCTGGTCCCCTGCCACAGACAGCTCGCCTACTCCCTGCTGTCAGGGACCTTGAATGTCCCTGCCCAATTTAAAGTTCAAACTGCAGGTTTGGCAGCCTAGGGACATGGGCTTTAGGACTCCAGGTTCCTTGTCCTATCCCAGAAGGCCGCTACTAGGACACAGGAGAGACACTGGACAGAGAATGTGAAGACTGGGCCTCATTGCAGTGCTGTCTCTTGGATGCCATAGGCTCCAGGCCAGGACTCCCTTTCACTAGACATGGGTGCCTGGACCATGGAGTGGATTTTCTCCTTCCAAAATTGCTGGGACCAGCTGTACCTAGACCCAGCCACATTTAAAGAAAGCTGATTGCTTGGTAAGGTGTGAGATCCCTAAGTATGTGTGAGGGAGCTTTTAAAGTCAGGAATGTACTTAAGCACATGAGTTTTTGCAGATTATTATTTTCCTTCCCCCTCCCTTTCCTGTCCTTTCAATACAGAATAACAACTTGCTGTTTAGAGACTAAAAAACAGCAGAGACTAATAAAGCAGCAGAAACTGCAAATTGGCATATTATACTATAATATGTTTTCTGGAATTTTATTAGGAACACAAGTCAAAGAGGAAAATTGGAAGATTGCTAGCTCTTATTTTCTATCTGCTCATAGACCAGTGAGTGCCCTTTTACTGCCCCATGGATACCTGAACTCAATAGGTCTGAGACAAACTCAGCATCTCCATCTTGCCCCACCTGCTGTGCTGCTTTTCATCATCTCAGTGTCTGGTGGTGGTATCTCTATCAATCCCAAAACTCAGGCATCAGCCCTCAGTCCTCCCTCTCCCTCACCCACTTCTGTAATCCTAACAGAATAAATAATAATACATATTACACACATATTATATCTCTGTCCCCCAAATACTGTGTGTATGTGTGTGTGGGGGTACATCTCTCAGAATTTCTCAGCTCCACTTTCCTTTCTTCTCTGCCCACCTGACTCAGGCCTCACCAAGTAGGTGGCTATAGAACCAGCTTCCTCACTTCAGTCCTATGCTGGAGTCTTTTTTGTCTATCTTTGCTCTGGGGCAAGGTGATGTCCCATTTTTAAAAATAAATAGCATCTTTTTTTTGGTGGTGGTGATACTGGGTCTTGAACTCAGGGCCTCACGCTTGCTAGACAGGCACTCTACCGTTTGAGCCACTCCACCAGCCCTTTTGTGTGGGTGTGTATGGGGGTGGTTGGGTGTTTTTGAGATAGGGTCTTGTTTTTTGCCTGAGCTGGCATTAAACCATGATCTTCCTGATCTCTGTCTACTGAATAGCTAGGATTACAGGTGTGAGCCACTGATGCCCACAAAATTTTTTAAGTTTAAAGTCATGTTCACTTTAGAAATATTGGACAATATGGAAAAGAATGATTATAAAAACAGTTCTTGTGTGTAACCCATCTCCCAGAAGAAACAACTGTTAGTTAATATTTTGTCATAGTTTTCCAGAATTTCCTGCCTACTTATTCATATATCCATAAGAAAAAAATACTTAAGTCAAGCACTGGTGACTCACACCTGTAATATTAACTACTCAGGAGGCAAAGATCAGGAGGATCACGGTTCGAAGCCAGCCCAGGCAAATAGTTCACAAGATCCTATATTGAAAAACCTTTTATAAAAAAGGGCTGGTGGAGTGGTTCAAGGTGAAGGCCCTGAGTTCAAGCCCCAATACCACAAAACAAACAAACAAACAAACAAGTAATTAAGAAAGTACTGAATGCAATGTTTTGTGTTCAGATTTTTTTCTTTTAATTACTTGTGGGCACTTCCTGTCATCAGATATTCTTTGAAAGTTATGATTTCTAGTGTCTGTAGCGCATTCTATCATTGAATTCCACAGGGTTTATTTGGACTTTTTCTATGGTTCTATAACAAGATTCACACACATTATGTTTTTGTTTCTATAAATCATGCTGTGACTAATATGGTTATACGTAAATCTTTGTGCTCCTAATCATTTCCTTACACTAGATCCTAGAAGTAGCGGTGTGGGGTCAAAGGGCCTGGAAATTTTTAAAGATCTTGACTCATCGTATAGGAAGTAGATACTAATTTATTCCCATCTCCACCAGCAGTGTACAACACTGCCTACTTCCCTGCCCCTCATGTAATGATAGACATGAAAAGGGAAAAAAATAAATTTTCATTAAGCATGTAGAGGAAGATGGTATCTGATCAGTGACCTGGTTAAAAGCAAACCACACTGTAGCCCCCAGACTCCTGAGAGAACATCCACATTCCTGTCTGGGAACCCAAGCAGGGTGGCCCAGCCTTAACTCAACTCAGAGAATAGCTGAGAGCAGCTCCTCCTTCTCCTTGGGCTCTGGAGAAGGCCTAGAAGGGGAACTGAGGTCTCAGGTGGGGCTGTGCTGACCTGTGGTCAGCAGGCAGAAGGGCTGGACTGGTCTTGGAGGCCAAGCCTAGCTCTCCCATTGTACAGATGGTACCACTGTGGCTGGAGAATTGGGAAGTGGAAGTGCACTGTGACTCTGGGTGTGTTTCCCCTGCATGCTCATGAGTTCTCAGAAAGGGAATCTGGGAATTGGGGAGGGGCAGGTGTGGCAGGGATGGGGTGATGAGGGGCAAAAAAAGCTCCCCCAAGCCAGGCAAGGCCAGGATATCAGACAGGAGGCAGGGGAAGCTGCATTTGCTATATCTACTGATGGCTGGGTGGGAAGGAGGAGCTCCACGCTCTGGAGCTCTTGGTGGTTGATATCCCAGGGCCAAATAGGTCTGAGAATCTTGGACTTTGGGCCTCCTTGCTGCCTTTACTGTCACTGCCCAGAGGGACTGGGCCTTCATCCCAGCTCTGCTCAGATTTGGGGAAGACCCTAAGCTCTTCTGTGTGTATCCCTACATTGTCATGTTCACATATGTATTTCATAAACTTGTGCAGGGCCTGGGGTAGGGCAAGGCTGGATGTTGGGACAGAGTGGGACTGGACACTCCCTGCTCTTGGAGGGAGCCAAGCGCACAGGAGGGGCACAGTGAGAGGAACAAAGTGGAGGCAGCTTCCTGGTGGAGGTGGCACAGGGCTGAGCAGTTCATTTACACTGTAGTGTGTTCTGGGAGGAGCTGCTTCATGGGGGAGAATCGAAGAACTGAGAGCCAGGCAGAGGCAGGAAGGGTGAGGCTCACATTTGACTGTGGAGCAGAGGACTGGGGATCCAGTCAGCAGGGCCAGCTATTAAAGGCTCCAATGCCTGGCTGAAGAGTGTTCCCTTTTTCCTTAGGGCAGTGGGAGCCATTTATGGATTTCAGTCAGAAGAGTGATGCTACTAATATACTTTACAAAACCATCCCTCTGAATGCTTCATGGAGGAGAGATTGGAGGAGAAGAAAGATTGAAGTCTTGAGACCAGCCCAGAGGGTGCTGTGGAGGCCCAAGGAGGGACACCTGGGCCACAGCAGAGTAGGAGCCGAGAGCAATTTGTGAGCTATTCTATGGCAGTATTAGTGGAACTTGGTGCTGTATATCTGAGATGAAAGATATGCTTAGCCCTATGCTCTGCCCCACTTTTTTTTTTTTTGATACTGAGGTTTGAACTCAGGGCCTTATGCTCACTAGACAGGTACTCTACCACTTGAGCCACTCTACAACCTCCTGCCCCACTTTGACACTGACATATGAAGGCCTTACCTACTAAGCTGAGACCTGCCTCTCCTCACCTACGGGCCTGTCTGCTCCCCCATACCTTCCTGATGGCCTCCTTCACCTCCTTGTTTCTCAGGCTGTAGATGATAGGGTTCAGCATGGGTGTGACCATGGCATAGAGGACTGTGAAGACCTCATCGGAGATGTGGGTCTCCTTGCTCTTGGGCTTCATGTACATGAAGATGACAGTGCCATAGAAAAGCAGCACTACAGACAGGTGTGCTGAACAGGTGGAGAACGCTTTGCGGTGCCCAGCAGTGGAGGGCACCCTCAAGATGGTGGCCAGGATCTGCACGTAGGACAGGCAGATGAGGGCCAGGGGCACTGGCAGCAGCAGGATGGCACCTACCAGCAGGAAGGCCTCGCTGATCGACGTGTCACTGCAGGCCAGCTTCAACACTGCCAGGATCTCGCAGGTAAAGTGACTGACCACATGGTGGCCACAGAAGGGCAGCCTTATGGCGATGACTGTCTCAGTCACTGACTTGAGGAGGCAGAGCACCCAGGCGGCTCCTGCCAGCAGCAAACAGAGGTGATGGCTCATGAGCACAGGATACATGAGTGGCTGGCAAATGGCTAGATAGCGGTCAAAGGCCATGATGGCAAGCAGCAGACATTCCATGGAGCCCATGGACAGGCTCAGACACATCTGGATGGCACAGCCAATGAAGGAGATGGTCTTCCTAGATGATAAGAGGTGGACCAACATCAGGGGCACAAAAGTGGACGTGTAGCAGATGTCCAGGATGGAGAGGTTGCCCAGGAAGAAGTACATGGGCGTGTGCAGGCGGGCATCCAGCATGCTTACTGCCACAATGGCCGTGTTCCCCAGCAGAGTCACCAGGTACATGGCTGAACACAGAGGGAAGAGCAGGCACTCCAGGGCTGGGTAGCCAGAGAAACCTTTCAGGAAGAACTCTGAAACCATGGTCCTGTTGACAGGCTCCATGCTGCACATTGTGGCAGAACACACAGCTGGGGTGGAGAGAAGGGTGCAGGGTGGTGGAAGCTCACAGAACCTCTTCTGGGATGATAGTGATTGCTAGGGTATTTACCAGTGTGGACACACATACTCTCTCTCTCTCTGACTTTGGAGCAATCCCCTCAACCTCTGTAGGCCTCAGTTTACTCATGTCAAAAATGAGGATTGATTTAGATCAGCATTTCCCTAAGAGAATGTGAAGGGATCTGTAGATAGGCAATCTGAAAAATCAATTGTATTTTTATGCATAATGAACAATCAGAAAAAGGAAATAAAATGCAAATTTAATTTACAATAGCATCAAAAAATAAAATATTTAGCAATATATTTAACAAAAAAGTGTAAAACTTGTGCACTGAATACTATAAAACATCATTAAAATAAAGACTTAAATAAAAGAAAAACATTTTATGTCATGAATTTAATATTTTAAGATGGTATTACTCCCTAAACTTACCTACACTCAATATAATCCTTACCAAAATTGTGGCTGCCATTTTTTGGAGGTGGGGAGGGCAAAAATGGATAAACTGGTCTTAAAATTCCTATGGAAATTCAGGGACCCATGATAGGCAAAATAACCCTGAAATAACTAGGAGGACTCACAGTTTTCAATTTCAAACCTTACTACAAAAGTTATGGTAACCAAGACTGTGTGGTACTGGTGTAAAGACAGCTATATTGGCCTGTGGAATAAAATTGAGACTGTAGAAATAAACTTTCTCATTTATGGCCAACTGTTTTTGACAAGGGTACTACAACAATTTAACAGGAAAGAACAGACTTTTTAACAAATGGTAAAGCAACTGGATATCCACACATGAAAGAATGAAGCTAGACTACAACCTAACACTGCACAAATAATTCAAAAGGAATCAAAGGCCTAAATATAAGCCATAACTATAAAAGTCTTAGAATAAAAGGACTTAATCATCACAATCACTGATTAGATAATGTTTTCTTAGAAACAACTAAAAGTATAAACAAAAGAGTGGGACTGCATCAATAAAGCTTTTTATTGCAGGGCTTCTGAGAGTCTTTAATATACTAATGTGATTTGTGACTCTCCAAAAGCAGTGTAGCGCATAGGCTCCCCAAATTTACTTGACCTTGGATCTCCTTTTTACGGAACACCCTTAAGTCTACTGTAGCTAAGTGATCTACAAACATAGTTTGGGAACAAATGGGCTGGGCTAGGGGTCTTCAAACTTGAACATGCACCAGCAATTACCTGTTAAAACACAGATTGTTGACTTGGCTCCCAGAGTTTCTGACTTAGTAGGTCTGGCTGTTGCTGGCCTGGGTACATCATATTGAGAACCCCCCCTGGTTAGAAGTTCTCTGAGGCTCCTCCTGGCTTTTAGGCAGACTCTGAACCATTGCTTACTTTGTTCCCTCCGCCTGGAACATCTTCCTCTTTTATCCCTCATCTGCTGACGTCTACTATGTCTTCTTAGGTTAGCTCTGTGCCTTACATTGGGGAGGAACTGCTGGCCTCTGAGCCAGTCAGTGAGTGTGTCCCTCTGTCCCCCGCAGAATCTGCCTTCATTGTGGACTTTCTAGCTAAAATGTCACAGATCTCCTGACCCATCTGCAAGCCCTGTTTTCTCCTGGCCAAAGAAGGGCTGCTTTGACTTCATTAACACCAAGGCTGTTAGCATGCAAAGTGCACCGAGAGGTCAACTTGTTGTGTCTCCACAGTGCAGGTGGGGAAACTGAGGTCCCATAGTGGGTCTTTGGGAGGTGAGTCTTGAATCCTGGCCTCCTGGCATTTGGATACCTACCCCGTGCTGAGAGCAGATGTTTTCTCTGTTAAGCCTCAAATGCCTGTTTTTCTAGATGGACACCGTTTTCCTGAATTCTTCCCATAATCCTTTCAACAGTCAAGGAGCAGAATTCAACCTCTCTTCTGCTACCATTGATCTCATGGGGGACACTGTCAAAGCCTGAGTGTGGGCTGAGCACCAGTTCCTCTCCAAGACTCACTCGCTCCAGCTCGTTTCCTTCTTTTATTCTTCCCTTCTTTATTTATTCCAAAATCAAAAAATGACTGAGGGCCCACTATATACCAGGCACTGTACTAGGCACTGTGCTAGGTGGACAAGTGTGCTCCCAGCCACACTTGTGCCAACCTTTCCCACACAAAAATCCCCTCCACTCTCCCATGCCTGGCTCCACCCTGCTTCTGTCTGCACACCCTAGGGACGGGTACATAGTCTTATATGTTCTCTTCCTTTTGCTGTCAGGGTCACACTGGGCCTCCAGCACCTTCAAGTGACCAGGCTGGGTGACCCTTGTGGATACTTCTCACACAGTGTACATGCAGGTACACACGTGCCTGTGTGTCTATGCCATACATAGGTTCACGTGTGGTCAGTCACATGAGTGTATGCGTGTAGCCCTCCCTGCCACATACACAAGAGAACAGGGCAGATCCTCGGACCTGTGTCAAGAGAGCTTCAAGGGCTAGGCAGGATGAATTAATTCCTGGGACGGGGTGTGTGGAGACCATGGCCACGCAGGGGCCACAGGGGAATCACTAATGATGTTGCAGCCCTGAGGGTGGGGAGCAAACTCTGCCTAGGATGAACCAGGGTAGGGACAAGGTCACCAAACCAGCTCAGTGTCCTGTCTGCTTCCAGCCTGTGTGGAAGGATGAGTCTTGGCCCCAATAAGCTGAGGGAGGAGAAGAGGAGGAGGGAGCTTTGTCTGTACAGCCTTTTCTGTGTCTTTTCTGCCTTCTCCTCTCTCCTGGCCAAAGCCACCTCAAACCCAGTTCAAATGGCATCTCCCCCGGGGAGCTTTCTTTCTCTTCCCAGGCCAGGCTGAGTCCTCCCTTTGTGCCCTATGGTCCTGTGTTTGCACCTCTAGGGTGATGCTCACCCTCTCTCTTACCTCCTTCCTGTTGCCCCCTGCCCCCGCAGCCACATGGTAGCCACCTCCTTTCTCCTCCTCTATTGGGTTCTGAAGGCCAAACTTAGACCCCAGCTTGGCCAGAGCCAACTTCTTCCATCTTAACTGTTAACTTCCTGGACTAAGGTAGTTTGAATGGGCTATCCCAAACTACATTTGGCTACTGCCAAACATGGGCTATCCCCAGCCTTGATGATACCCTGAAAGACTGGGAGGGGACCTACAGATCAGACAGACAACCTACTAGTTATACATGGGGAGACTGAGGCCCAGAGAGGGGAAGAAACTTAGCCAGTGTAGTACAAGAATTAGAGAGGGAAACCAGGAACTTTTCAGGGCTCTTGGCTCCTTCCTCCATCTCCACGTCTCCATTTCTTACCTTCTGGCTCTTTCAATTCATGTCCCTGCCTCCCTGGATGTTGGTTCAGAGGGCTCGAGATCAGGGACTGGTTCTGGCTGGAACCAGGGGGACTCAAGTCAAAGAAGCAGTCTGGGCCTCCTGTGTGAAGGGAATCCTGATGGGCAGGCCCTGCTTTTCAAACTGTGAAATCATACCTAGATGTCTATGGAATTCATGAAGTGTTTAAAACTTGATAGAATTAAGTGGAACTTTTAGAATGTGGCAGAATTACTCCAGAATTCAGTGGGATTCTCCGAAGTGTAAGATTGGGCAGAACTAAGAAATCCTAGCAGGCTCAAGGCCGAAGAGTCTACAACAGTTCGCTGTGGCTAACAGAGACTCCTGGGCCTGGGTGGCTCCCACCGCCATCCTGGCCCACAGCCTCCAGGGTAGAGGGAAGCCGGCAGGGCAAATGAAGGTAGCACCTTTCAAAGTTCCCTGTGTACCAAGGGACTATGTAATTCCCAAGGCAAGTTAGAGTGAGGAGAGGAAATGTGCCCAGTTTAGAAACTTTGGGGTGCTTCAGGGATGATGTCCCAAAGATCCAATTACACAGAGTCTATTTAGAGATCTTAATTGGTGTGGAAAAGTTGGAGGAAGAGACTCAGGGCCAGGGATCCAACCTCCCAATCAGTCCTCAGCCAGAATGGGCCCAGTAATGTTTCTAGAATGAGCAAATGAATAGACAAATGGCCAATTAAATGGATAACTTTAAAAATAAATGAATGAGTGAGTGAATGACAGGCAGAGTTGCTTCCCAGGTGGTCAGTGAGAGGTCTTGGCTCAACTCTCCTAGTGATCATATGAAAGTACAAACTCTGGAAAGAGTGTTTTAATAGGGGAGTGACCCAGATGAAGAGACAAACAGAATTCGAGAATATGAGGATAGTTCTTAAAAGCCACCATGGCCAATACCCTTCGCACAGATAGCAGCCTGCCCTACTGAGTTTCAGGTCCAGATCAGTGTCAACGAGTGAAGCAGAAGCTCAGGCTTTGGTTGCTGACACGGGTTCGTCCACCCTCAGCTAATGTCCTTCAGCCAATGCAGAGGCCCTCTTCCCAGGATGGCCAGTGCTCACACATCCGTTCCTATGTTTCCTCCTTGAGGCACCTTCTGTTTTTCAGAGGCTGTGCCTCTTTTTTTTGTTTTCCTCGATACTGGGGTTTGGACTCATAGCTTGCGAGGCAGGTGCTCTACCACTTAGCATCATAGGGCAGAAGGATGTAGCTTGTGGTAGAGTACTTGTGTGGCTGGGCTTGACCTCCAGCACCAAAAAAACCACCCAAACAAACCAAAGATGACAATGACAACAAAATCATAGTGTCATTTTATTTTGGGACTAGTTATTGTTATTAGATTTTTGTTTAGCTACTTTTAAAAACACAAGTAATTTTAATTAGCATTTTATTTCTTTGAAAAAACCCACATATAGAACATTCTTTTTTTTGTGTGTGGGATTGGAATTTGAACACAGCTTCATGCTTGCAAAGCAGGCAGTCTACTGCTTGAGCCACACCTCCAGTCCATTTTGCTTTGGTTATTTTGGAGATGGGGGTCTTGTCAACTATTTGCCCAGGCTGTCCTTGAACCTTGATCCCCCTGATCTCAGGCTCCCAAGTAACTAGGATTACAGGCGTGAGCCACCGGCACCTGAATGTATAGAACATTTTAATAAAAATTTAGATAACACAAAAGCACATAGTGCAAAAATGACACTCTTTTCAACCCCTGCACCTCCCCACCCCACTTCCTTTCTCAAATGTAACCAGCATTAGAAGTTTCATGGATCTCTATCTCTTCTGGTCATTTG